CTAGAATGAATCAGGAAAGAAAAAGTTGATCGATATGATATCGGAACCACCCTATCGTAGAGAATAGGTTACCGACATGACAATGGAACCAACTATCGATAAATCCATACACGATCGGAAACAATCTTTAAATATATGATATTATAAGAAAAATTGTGGAATAGCTTTTTAGGTCACGTGACATACCTTGTTCACAAAGACGACCCTTGTAYCCCGAGGGACACGAGCACGTAAAGTTTGCATCGTTCGTCTGAACACACTGACCTCGTTGACATGGATTTGAAGCACATTCATTGATATCTTGTGGAAGAAGATGAGCATTAACTATAGATTGATATTGCTATTAATGCACTCAATACGTATCATTTAGTGACTCACCTACGTCACACTTGGTCCCATTCCACCCCTGTTTACACTTGCACGAGTAAGAACTCACTCCATCAATACAATCACCATGGCGACCACAGTAGCCATCAGGACCGACATCGTTGGAGCCTTCTTGATTCCAAATATTATTACTGGGATCACAATCATCGATGTCTATGAGATAGGGATTGGAAAAAGAGACTATTAGTACTCGTGAATGATGCGTGAATGATGATAATGATAATGATGATAATGATGATGATAATGATGATGATGATAACGATGACATGGCATCATTTGTTCAATTACTTACTTATCGAGCAGTTCTTTCCATTAAATCCTTCCTTACATTTACAATAATAGCTTCCATCGATTTTGTTTTCACATTGGTTAGTACTACTGTTCGTACAAGGCATCGCATCACAGGGACCAATTTGACACTGTTTTCCACTGTATCCATTAATACAAACACATTGRTAGCGACCTAGTAGGTTAATACATGTACCACCGTTTTGACATGGTCTAGGGGCACAGTAGTTGATCCTTTCACTGCATGTCCGACCTTGAAATAGAAAGAGTTTATCACAACATGACTTCAGGTGTTTCTATGAAACTTTATCCTAATTTGCATCTGATTTATTGTTCCTTAGTTTTATAAATCTACTGAAGATTTATGTTCCTCATCGGATTGTAGGTCCTGTTGACGTAGTGTATTAAATCAGCTTTTTTGATAACTTTATCTATTCTTATTTTTTTGACATTTTTCTTTTCTGTTCATCTTTTTCATAACGGAAATTCTAAACAACATTACACAGTGACCCTTACGTTAGTAAGTGTTTTTAACTAGGCATCACTTACCTTTATAACCAAGAGCGCAGTCACACGTGTAGTCGTTCACGCCGTCAATACATGTTGCGTTATTATAACAAGTTGCTGTCAAACACTCGTCGATGTTATTTTCACAATTATTCCCATCATATCCCGGAATGCACTTGCAGGAGTAGGAGTTGATCCCGTCCTGGCATGTTCCGTTATTCTGGCATCTGTTGACTGAAAACGAGMAGAAGGCGATAAGCTGTGGATAATTTTAGAGCTTGATGACTWGAAATTTTTGTTATAGTTTTGATCATAACTGCCCTATTTCATTATGACGTCACAGTATGCTTACATCGGAAACCGATGCCCAAAAACAGTGGAAATTTAGACCCATTTATATTGTCGACTAAAGTAGAACTTCAATGAATCGTGTTTTGATATATATCATGTATCAATGATTGCTCATGTACATTTTATTTGATATGCAGTCACTCTGATCCCTTCTGGCGACCATAGAGTTAAAACAATAGAATGTTTTGATATGACGTCATAATGAACTAGGGCAATTTAAGTAAGGGGCAATGTAAGTGCACCTGCGCAGTCGTCAATATTGATATCACATCGTCTTCCTTTATATCCAGGATTACATTTACATGTAAAGTTGTTGATTTTGTCGATGCACGTCCCGGTGGATGCACAGGTGTTGGCTTTGCAGTCGTTGATGTTGATTTCACAATCGGTTCCTTTGAATCCAAGGTAACACGAACACTAGACAAAAAATACAAATTACGATAATGATTAAAACGATAGTAATCTGTTTGCTCTCGATGATGATGATAGTGATGACTATGAAAATGCTTTTACCCTAGTGACATCATAAGATGTTTGCCGAGATGCACTATGGGATTGAAAAAAGTATAGTAAACCGAAGCAATGACTGTTATGTTTTTTTTATTTGACTGTTTTGCTAAAAGAAAGAATTATTTTTTCCCAAGCAGGAATTTGAGCACACTCCAATGCGTAAGCATTGATATTAATTTTTTTTAAGAGTTCTCAATAGCGGTCGCCTTCCGTAGTTTTTATCACACTTCCGCCATCTTGGTACTTTTATCAAACCATGATACATTTCGGCAAAACAATTATGACGTCATCAGTAGAGAGGGCAAGATATGGAAATCCGCGATGGTGTGACAAAACAAATAAGTAATATTTTTAACAACAATTGATATGACRACAAAATATTTACATTGTAACTTTTAAAAAGGTCTTGGCAARCTCCATTTTTGCATGGATTTGGGTCGCACTCATTCGACGCATTTGAGCAAGTTTTACCCAGAAATCCCTCCGGGCAGGAACACTTGAAGTTATTTACCAAATCTGTACAGTTTCCTGKTAAAAAMAAACGCATTGTGATTKGTCGATAAAATRCTTTAAAAATGATGGRWTT